TGTCTAGAGATAAGCATGGCTGGCTGAGAAGGCTGCTAGCCCAGGAGCAGCACTGCTTCGAGTGACAAGCAGAAGCCAAGCTGACTTGTGTACCAGACTGCCTAAGCAACAGAATCTCTGGGAGGAAGGATGAGAACAACTTGCATTGCAAATGGACAAAGGTATCAAGCATCATTTCTTCATATGCAGGGGAGCTGACAACCCTGGTGGACCAACCACCAGGTCCTGCAAGCAAAGATGTTCCAAAAATATCATCTTAATCTGGCCACTGATCTCACCTAATGAAGATGATCTCTTGATTTGTAATCTGTACAAAGTGGTGCTGAATCACTGGGAAGAGCAGAAACGGTCGTGTTTAATTCTGAGAGAATTCCTCAGATTTTTGTAGGAAAAAAAGCAGATAAAAGCTCAGCTGATTAGTAAAGGGTCTTTGCACATGGAGCAGAAATCATGTTGGCAGGAACCATGTACTGCTATTAGCTGCCCCAAACCACTTCCAGCATTCACTCTGCAGAATCAGTGAGAACGAAATGCCAGAGTGTCTGCCCATCCTTGCAGCTGCACAGCCACTGTGAATGCACAGCGGTTATTACTGAGCCTGAATTATGTCAGGCCGAGGAGCAAACTGGAGCCTGAAAGCACATCCACCTTCTCTGGTCCTCCTCTTTTAACCTGTGCACCCAACAAACTTATCATCTCTAGCAGGAACGCCCCTGCATGGCATGCTGGAAAGTGAATGAGAGCAGCTGCTCTGCACCTGGGACTCAAATCTTGGCAGATCTCATGTGTTGTTTAATAATTTTGCATAGATCAACAGTTTTTGAATAGTACACACTTCATTCAGTACAGCAGGTTTTTAAATTCTCATTGTACATTTATGGATCATTGCACCTTTTCTAAGCCACAGCAATTGTCTCTATTGTCAAACCCAAATGTTAATGTCTTCCATGCTGTCCTTCCCTCTAGTTCAGTGCATTTCAATGGGGGTTAAAAGGTAAAAGCACTCCAAAACTTCAAATAGGCACTGACATCATTGGAAGCTACACTTAGTCCCATCTCCCTCCTCCTGCTTCTCCTCATCAGTAAACAGTGACATCTAGAGAAAAATGAGGCTTCTTTAATAAGACAACAGAGTGTCACTAATTCTGTTGTGCTAATTGCTGCTGAGCTTGTATTGAAATGATCTCATGTTGTCCATGTAGAGCTCTGTGCAGCCGTGTGACTGATCATCCCTCCAGAAGCCTATGGCACACACCATCACGTTTCTGTGGTCTGTTGCTCATGCAGCTCTTCCATTTGCCATGCAGCTTTCCAAACCTTCGGTTCCATGGACAGAGGATCTCCCTTTCATTCTAGTTTCCAGCTGCCCGTCGCTATACTTCAGAGCATAAATTACAGTTTGTATTTTGTACCAGTGTCAATAAGTAGTCTTCAGAATGGGCCCAATCTGGCAAATTGAGTTATGGATGTTACTGTCTGCATCTGACAACCAAAGATGTAGAACATGGGAAATCTCTCAGGCCCATCTTGACCCGTGGAAGCTGGTAGATGGGAGAAACTTCCATTGTAATGATATTTCTAAGTACAGCTATTGGAGTGCACTGAATCATGCTGTTTGTGTATCGTTTATATGTGACATTATTACTCACTGCTAAGATGAAAAGCAAACACATACACTGCATTGGGGAATACTTGATTTAAACTCTTGCTTTTGTTTCTAAGTAGGAAACAAACTTCAGAACATATCTCGAGGGATTCTCACGGCCAACCCTTGTATCTGAAACTACAGCAGCTATTCCAGAGAACAGTATTTGGAGAACTGATTTGCCAATAAAAACAAATTCATGTGAAGAGGCTGTTTCAAAAATGACACTTCCAAGACTACTCTGCGCGTGTCTAAAATTAAAAGGGAATAAAACTTCTGCTTTCGTTAGTTCCAATGTCAGCACCATGTCCTTTGCCTCCCTTCACTCTGTCTATTCTCAATCTACCATTTGCCTCCAATTGCTTGGAGACAATATCTGTAGACCCCACTGCACACCATGAGCTGGGACACAGGGAAGCAGAACTATTTTCAGAATCAACTGCACAGAGAAATGCCTGTGTGCAAGAGGTCGAATTGCATGCTTTGTCAGAAGCCTCGCAGTGCATCCAATGCTTTGTTAACACAATGGAAAACCTTTTATTTTTACTGTGCTTTAATTAATGTGTCGTGACATAAAGTAGAACTGCAGCCAAAACAAGAAGTCTGACATTTTCTAGGCTGACTACTATCAAGCAAAACTATGAGTTTAAACAAAAACAGCTTTGCTGAGCTGAAAAAGGCTTGGGAAAACACTTCGTTTCTCTGTCTCCAGACATAAAGTCATAAGCCCTATCTTCCCACCCTGTTGTAGGCTGAGGGAAGACTCCAGCAATGCAAAGAGTGGAGCCAGGGAGGCACTGTGCTCACCAACAGAGGAGGAGGACATTAGACTCATTGCCCCTTGTGCTTGTTTTTCATACTGGAAATCAAATTCTTCAGGCTCATGGCGAAATAAAAATCGCAGCATAAGGGCTAGGAGTAGCAAGCAAGTCCTTCCTAATGAGCTAACAAGACAACACCAAGAACAGCATAGCAGAAAAGGTGGAAAAGAAGGCATTCAAGGAATATCACAAAATTAGCATTTTAAGATTATTAGGTGAGCTATAGCAAGTTGGGCTTTGCTGTCCAAAAATGGAACAGTTGCTCACTGGTTAATGAACACAAGGATTTGGGCTGGATTTCTGTCACATCTGTCTCTCGGTCTCCCTGTGCAACGAATGACCTGCGAGCTGAGGAGGAAGTGCAAGATTTTCATCAAAACCTTGATGGAAAGCCGTAAAAATTAACCACACAGCAAGCTGATTTGTTTTCCTGTCATTTCCCATCCCCTCTGTTTCACCTGTTCTCCCAAAGAGTGTGTAAACCTGTGCTGACCCTTACAGGGAATGCTTTCCCAATTACTCTTTGGATTGCCAGCGCTTGATGAGGCTGTGAGAGGCAGCGCAGGGCAAACGGTGCTTCTCACAATTACTTGTGGGGATTGCAGCCAACCACCTGCTTCAAAGCCCAGAGAGGTTAATTGCAGCCCTCTGTCTCCTGTCCTGCCCCTGTACTTGTACAGCACCGATGTAAAGATGTATACTTACCTCTTGGTCTGGATATATGTGAATGGATGGCTCTGTCTCGATGCAATCTGTGAAATGTGTAAGCCAAGCCTGATGATACTTTTACAGCTACAATTAAAGTCCATCTTTCTGTTCCCCAGTTCAGAGCCTTGCCTGCTTGCTGACAAAAATCCAAGGACCTTTTAAGCCAGTACAAAGAGTAATCTAAAATATTAGCCGCCGTCTTGTCAGGTATTAGTTATTCCCTCGATCAGGCCTTGATGTTTATCCCTCCCTCTTTGGGTTTTCTTAATTATTTCTGCCTTGTTTTAATTCTCAGAAAACTCCCTAGATGTGGGCTTTATGATTTAGAATCTCAACTGCTCATTCAATTAATGGGCTTGATTAACGTGCTTAAACTTCCCAGAGACACTTGTGACACATTATGAGGGGGAAACGAGGATTCTGAGTATGCTCCATCTCATTTGTGATACTCCTGAGACTGGAATCCATTAGGAGCTCTATTATCAGATAGTTTATTTTTCATATTTAAATTTCTTTTTTTTTTTTTTTAATTCTTGTATTTATTCAGCATTGGTGTGGAAGGATTATTCTTTCCAAGAGTGACTTAGGTTCCTGTGCTCCTTTCCTTGTAACTTGGCTTACTTTGCAAAAAAAACGATTCAAGTTTGGGTATGTTGATTAGAATCTGACAAGCTGACATGCAAATGGCATAAGTGGAGGTGCAGCTCTTCTGCTTTACGTATGAGTATCATATATGGAGAGAAAACCATCACATAGTGAGCTTTCCTAACAAGGCTGTAGGATATTAAGATATTCTGTGCTTCTTTGAACTCCACGTAACTGGAATCTAGACCCTCCTTCAGCCAGTATCTCTTCGTATCTTTGCCTATTGACACAGTGCACAGTACTGGTGGTAGGTGGATGGTTGGACTAAATGATCTGAGAGGTCTTTTCCAGCCTTAATGATGCTGTGTTTCTATACCGGAGCCTCAGTACAACGCAATACAGAACAGTCCTGATGGGAGAACGGAGCCCATTTCAGTGAGAGAACCACCTCGTGTGACCCACGGCTCTGCTTCAAAGCAGAGTGAAGATGTGTAATGAATACACATACATAGGCATGTTATATACATGTATATGCATGAATATGCATATATATAAACTCAATATGTTAATCTAAATGTATGCATGGTCTAAAAGTGTGCGTATACACACGTAAGAATATAAAAAACATGCCTTATCAAGAAGTTCCATCCTTCCTGGATGCAAGTCAAATGCATCGCTATGCCAGAATCCTTATATAATTTCATATAACGACACACAGCAATTATGAATACATTTTACTAAAACAATTACAGAGAAGTTCTAAAAATTAATGCTTCTGCTGCACTTCTGCTCACAAGCCATACGGGGAGCTTCTGTCTTTCAGTATTACAGTGCTCAAGGAAAAAGAAAAGGATTCTATTTTATGGTTCTGAGTCAGTCTTTTTCTTACTAACATATGGCCCCATTTTTCCAGGTTCTTTAAGCAAGTTGTAAACGTAAACTTTGATGCATATGGAGTTTGATTCATGAAGAGTTTAATTTGCCTAGTATAAAAGATTCACGTAGGTTATATAACATCATTAAATTATTTTTGTAGTTTGAGTAGGCTCCATTGAGGAAGGCAAAACTGTTTCCCTGGCGTCCATTTATCACTGTTTGCTACTAATTAGAAAACTGAAAATACAATATGCATGATTCGCATTATCTGCGCTGTCTTTGGACTGATGCATTGTTCCTTGTGCTTCCTTAGGAACTTTTATTCATTTCTCAATTAATTTTTTTTTTTTTTTTTTTTTTTTAAGGTTTCTGACAGATGTGACTCCATCTTCGTTAATGGCAAGGAAATGAAAAGCAAAGTGGATACTATTGTTAACTTCACTTATGAGCATTTTACCACCCAATTAGAAGTGACGGTCTGGGTTCCACGGCTGCCTCTGCAGATAGAGATCTCTGACACAGAGCTCAGCCAGATCAAAGGCTGGAGGATACCCGTCACCTCCAATAAGAGGTATGCTTACAGCACAAGCACCATCCTGAGCCTCTGGTTTCAGAATGCTTCGAATTTTTAGTGTTTCTCAGAATCTCAACTCTCCTGTTTGAAATGAGATCTATACTTTGCCTTCATTACAGTGCCCAACAATGATGCGAGTAGGCTGCATTTTACCCTGACCTGTATAGTTTAAAAGTCAGTAGCTTTGCTTAGAGCAGTAATCAATTCCATGCAATCTCAGGAAATTGTACCACAAACTCCAATGTGCAAATCTGACACAAAGAACCTGGACCTCTTGCAGCCCCATATACAAAAGTTTTTGTGTGTGTGATGTTCAGCACTACCAGTGCTGGTTTCTGTGTATGTGGCTGAATAAAAGAAGGCAAGGGAGGAGTCAGGCATTCACTGAGAACACACAGCACTTGGATGTTGCACAAGTGCACATCAGGCTATGCTCTGCAGGACTCAACCTGGGCATGGCTCAGGGGACAGCTTACACCAGAAACTAAAGGGCACCACACAGATCCAGAGGACATGCACATCTCGGTGTGGCATACAGAAATAGCCATTCATCATGAACTCAGCAGTCTACCATAGCATTAGAGAGGGAAACGTGAGCCTTGGGAAAGAAAATCCAGATATTTTGAGGCTGTTTGGTTTTAAGAACAGTCAGAGTTTCTGATTTTGCTTTCCTGTATTCAGTAAGTACTTGAGTAATGTGCTGGCTTCACCATCGTGTTGGGAGGCTGCTGTTCAGCCCATTCCTCTGTAGCGTGAGGCATCATTTTATGCAAAATACTTAAATTTCATAAAAATCGAGAGACTTTGAAGCTTGGAAAAAGCATATCTCTGTATTTTTCCTTAGCATAACTTGGTATTTCCAAATCCTAGAGCAGCAGCAAAAGTACACTTTGCACATTTTCTGTCATTTTGTTTTGTTGCTCTGGATTATGTGCTAGACACCTTTTTATAAATGAATGTATGGTAACTGTGGAGTCCCAGCCTGAAGCACTGATTGAGCACCTGGGGAAAGGTCCCAGTCAGCCCTGGGTACACAGCTGAAGGCAGTTCAGCTGTTTGATAGGAAGGGGTAGAACCTGGCTGCCCGTCTCTTAGACCCCATTTAAGGGCTGACTGCTACTGGGGAAGGATCTCTGGTTGGAGATCCCTTCCTTGTGGAGTCTTTTCTGTGAGCTTAGATCTTCAGAGACAGGTGAGCACCTTTCCTTTTCCTTTGTAACACCATTCTATTCACATTAGTTCTTTTGCTGTTACACTGCTGTATCGCCCTTCCACTGTGTTGACCTTTCTGATTGTAGCAATGAATAGTATTTAATATTAACAAATTCAGAGCAGAATAATGGCTTCTTAACAGTGATTTCCAAGACCTGCTTTGACCGTATTTCAGGTCTCTGCACACTCTCGCTGTCCCATACAGTTTTGCACTGTAGCAGGTTAGGTACAGTAACTAAAAAACAGCATGCTTTTGAAGGCCAAACCAAAACTGACTCAAAGGCAAAATTTCAGTACAATCAGCAGTCTCACGGAGAGGCAGATGGAACAGCTTGGGAACATGTGAAATCATGCAGGTGGCAAAGAGGTGCAAGAAGGATCAACAGGGCTCTGAATGATTATCCAACCCCTGTACAGCAGACTTGGGTGAAGCACCACTTAACAGATCTGAATTAGGCAAAAACAACAACAACAAACAAAACCCACGCTATTATAGAAGACTATCTTCATATGAATAGTTTCTACCAGGACTCACACAGATTGAAAACATTCATGACAATAAACACATGTGGATTCTAAGGAGTTCTGTTCTCTTATCCTTCCCTATTGAAAATATCCATTCTCATAGAACACTCATTTGGGCAACTTGCTAGATTAATAACTTCCAGGAATGCTACTATATTGGTGGATTTCAGGAGAAGTTGAAAAATGGTACAGGGCACCAAAGCATGACACCAAATCACATTTATAACACAGTGGGAAAGCAGTACCAGGAGTCCTAAACACTGTGGCAGTTCTAACTAAAGCACTCGGTTTGCCCAGGAGAACATCTCAGCTACTGAAGAGCCTTACAGAGCCTGGGCAGACTGCAGCAGAGGAGAGTTATCTAACACTTTATGAGGGCATAAAACTCAGGGTAATATAGAAAACCTACAAGAAACTCAGGTAATGAGCTCAGAAGAAAGAGACTGCCATCCCTCTTGGCTATGTGGATGTTTTTTCCAGCTATAACAGAAGAATACACAATGAGGATCTGCTGCAGAAGAAATGTGTGCTTGCTTCAGCGATAAAGGCGAAGTTGCTGTTTGTGGAAGGAGGAGATGTGCTAGGCAGTGAATGAACACACGCCAGCTGCTTACAGTCTCACTTAACTTACCTCCTGCATGCAGTGTGCCTGATACTGTAACACCTCCTTAGGCACAACTCCTACCAAAGCCAGTGGGGATTTTGCTGAGCAAATGGCTGCAGGATGAGGCTGTTGGTGTTTATTGCGGGAGTAAACTTCCAGCAGAAAGCTCAGCAAGTTAGACTTTCAACTGTGGTTAACGGTCGTGGACATTCTGACTTTAAATCCATTATACAGATTGCTGGAAATTTACCCCCCGGTGCCTAGTTCTGATTTATTTGGCCAGCTGAAATAAAGACGTGGTCTGAGAGCCTGCTCTGTTTGCAAGCTGGCAAGCTGTGGAAGTGTGCTGCTGCTCACATTGCATCTGAACTGCTGGCATGGCTCTGGCAGGCGTTTGCCATCAAGGGTGGGAGTAGGGACTTTCTTGTACCATTCCCCAGAACTGCAGCTGGTAAGTTTATGACGCTGCATGTCAGCAATCCGTGCACTTATGAGCTGGAAATAATGCTCCCCTTATTTTATGGAATGTTCATTTGTTTTCTTTTTGTTTTTTAAACTTTGTGGGGATATTATAAATCAACAAGCAGCCCAGGACTAGCATCAGTTTTGCTCAGTCTGCTATTTACTTTGTACCTAAGGATTTTACATTTCTTTTATTTTTAGATCTGGCTGGATTTTTACCTGAGATTTAATGGCTTTTCTTCTGTTGTTTTTTGGATTTTTCTCTTTGATTTTCAGCCTACCTTATTCCTCCATCTCTTTCGTAAGTGCTTTCTTCCCTAATGCTCTGAGAGAAGAGCAGATGGAAGTGAGCTACGTGGGTGTGGTGAAGGGTCCTTGATCCAGCATGGGCTTACAGAAATACTCCTCCTTGTAATGGGCTGCAGAGAAGCTCACAGTTGTAGCAAACAGAAGGTGTATGTTTAAATTAAAGTCAAATATTGGAGTGGAGGAGAGGTCCAGCCAGTCTCTGCCAGTCTAACAGGGACATTTACTTTGATTCCTCGTGCATCTGAAAAATAATTATCCTCTTCTGAAGCTCCTGCACTAGTTCTATGCCCAGTACATTTACATGTGATGAATGGCTCTAAGTTGTGTTAATAGGAACTGCACGGCTAAAGCCTCAAAGAACAAGCTAAAAATTTAATCTAAGTACATATCTGCAACTGGAATAGCACTCTGTTTTTGTGAGGCTCCCAGGGAAACAGACATCACACAGCAGGACTCCAGCATATGCTTCAGTGTCAGGCACATGGTGTGTTGGACTTGTACCAGCATCTGGTCACTGAGCAGGAGCTAATAAAGCCTCTACTCGATCATGGTGACTTCACATCACATACACCTCTACGACCTACTTAAGCCAGACATGGCAATGCTTGTGAGTGGCACCCTGTTGAACATATGGTTAATTTGGTGGCGAGTCTACTTCAGTCTGGTCTCATTCTGGAGACAAACTCAGGGAAGTCAGCTGGAGTTAAACAAAGGGAAAAGAAGTGCTGAACTAGACCTTGTGAGCGTTGTCACCTGGAAAGGAAGCCATCCTTTTAATGAGAATCAAGTGAGACTGGATTCAAACCATTTCACTTGTGAATGGTAACATCTGCACAAAGCTTGAACATTATAAATTCACACCTTCCATTAACTGAGTTTAAAGCTGGGGAGATAAGGCCACAGTGGCTTTTGTTCCCAGGCCGGCTGCATTTTCAGGATTTGCAGAGGGATCGGTGAAATTGTTTCTCTTCTTGAGCTCTGAGTGGAGCTATGTACAACTTCTGCCATCTTCCACTAAATCACCTTCTGGTGGCTTGAGTTTTGTATTGAAATAGATATTTGTTTTCAGCTGGGAGTGTTGCACGTGGTTTTGAAATACGTGTCTCTTCACAATGAATATTTCAAATTCAAGACCAGCAAAACTGATCTCGTTGGGGTTTTTTTAAGCAGAGAATTAGCATCTGGCCCAAGAACTTGATGCCTGGTTTGAGAGTGGTGCAAATTAAAAGGGACGTACTTAAACTGCTTGAAGGCCGTGTCTGGAATATGGAGCTGACAGATCACTGATTAGATCAGTGCTAGCAGGCACCCTCACTCCAGGGCTGCTGCTTTAACTCAGCTCTCTGGCAAAGGCTTTTCTGTGTGAAATGTAAATGAAATGTAATTCTGGCAACCTTGCTTCGCTCCAGAAAATTAAAAATAATAATAATAATAAAGAAGTCTTCCAAGCAAGGTTGAAAAGCAGCAAGAAATTGGATAATAAGGATTCTGAGCAAGTTCCAGAGCTAACCTCAGAGATGACCAAGGGGAAAGAAAAGCAAAATATGCAGCCATAGCTCATATTCATGAGGACACGTCTTAGAAAGAAAATGAGCTCACTGCTTAAGGAGGGAAGGATTTTAATCCTGCTGAAAACACTGGAACAAGAAATTTAAGACTCTAAAGGGAACGATGCGATTCAGTGGATTTCAAACATTTTGTTGGGTCTGTGGAGACAGAACACTCTGATGCTCTTATAAACTGAATCGGGGATTTGTGGCTTTGAAGTGGAAATGGATATCATTTATTTAAAAAAAAAAAAAAAAAAAAAAAAAGAACCTGAGTCAGTACCTGGTAAAGCAGAATTGCAAAGCATGTACTGGAAATTCAAACACCTCTATTTTTCCTTTGCACTGACATATGAATGTGTCTTGCCCAGTCCATGACTTAAGGATGCTCTTCCACTGTTCCACATTTGCATGCAGTAGAAACCAAGTACTTATAAGGTGAAATGTACAGATATCAAGAGTTACAAATATTACTGAAGGGGAAACAGAGCCCTTACCTTTGTCTGCTTCAGATAACACACAGAAATACATGGGCTTGAATCATCTTTTGGTAGCACTGGCTGCCCAGAAAATCTGCCCTTTCACCACGCTCCTTAACTCCTGGTCTTGCTGCCCACAATGGGTTGCTCTAATTTGTCTGAAATGTATTTCCTCCTAAGCAGTCTACTAGTCTCAAGTTTTAGAGAGTGAAATCAGTACCAAAGAAATGTGAATAGCAGAAACACTTTGGATCTGACTGAGCAAAACATCTGGTGGTATAAAGGCGAGGAGAAAACAGAGTGGTGTAAGAAAAACGAGTCATTGTGGATGTTGAACATGTGAACAGTTCTCTCCACATCACAGCATGGTGGTGCTGTGATGTCTTTTCCCATTGGTTCCCAGTGATTCTGCAGCTTTTTTCCCCCAAATCTGGCAAGTACTTCTCACCTGAATGGCCCCTGCACATTCTTCTCTAGTTCTGCACAGATATTAATAGCACTGTCAAAAAGCAGGGTTAAAGCTCCACATCTTGGGGGCTTGGTTTTCCCAAAGCCTGTGATTATTCAGAGCTGGGTTACAGTTTAGGTGAGCTAAAGAGCATTAGAATACAGGAATAGTTTGGAAGTGGGAACCTGAAGGAGTCTGTGAACTCTTTCACAACATTATAAAGCCAAAATACATCCAAATAGGTCAGGAAAATTCTATCAGCGTCCCTTTTCTGCCTCTGTGGCTGTTTTGCTGACTAGCTGTGTCAGCTCATGGTCCGGTTTGAAACTTAGGCTTGGAAAGAGAGAACAACTGAAAATTTCCCTTGGCTACTCAGCTGGTCTCCTTTTTTTGTGCAATGTAAATCCTATCTTAAGATCCTCTTTTGTTATAAAAATCCATCGGTGCTTCATTCAGTGACTAATGATGAACACTGCTGTTTTGCACACATAAAACCAAAAGGGCTGTACCAAATGCTGCTTATTTCAGGCTGAATATATACGTATATCCACCTAACAAATGATGCATTGAGAATATATTTCTAGTGAATGAGATTCTGTAACACCAGGACTTTATAGCATTTTGAAGAGCACAAGGGCTTCTCTTAGATACATTTTCAGCTTACAGTTTGCCAACTTTGTCATAAAACAATTTATAACAAAAGCAATTCTGTTTTATAATAGTTTTTCATAGCTGGTATTTCAAAAAAGGAAGATAAAGGACCACAGTAAACACAAAACTACTTCCCAAAATACTGTGAAAAATAAGAGGCTTACCCAGTATTTCACATCCTTGCTATAAAGTCACTTCAGCTCCAATAAACAAGCAAAAGAGAAAGGCAAAATATTTCTGAACAATAAATTCCACAGTGTGAGGGCATAACGAGTAAAAATTTGACCACCTAGGACTTAATGCCTGACTTGCAACAGATAAGGAAAATCCATGTGTTTGCCTCAAGGAATGAATAACAACAAAGAATTTATAGGAAACTAAGTTTTAAACTAGAGAAAACTGTGAGATGTAACCAGCCCTAACACCGTGTACAAATCACTGATAAAAGGCTTATGCAAAACTGTGATATTGACAGAAATTATATTTTGCATAGGGGACAAGGTAGAAAACTGTAATAGGAGTGTATGTAATGCTGTACCTATTCCTGAGGGTGAATCTCAACAGTCTGGGATGATGTTTGTAGAGCACCGTAATGTGTTGAGGGACATGGTTTAGTGGGAGCTATTGGGAATAGGTGAACGGTTGGACTGGGTGATCTTTTAGGTCTTTTCCAACCTTGGTGATTGTATGATTCTATGATTCTATGAATAATGTCATAATTTAAATGCCTAAATTGGGCTTTTTGAAGTTCTGCGTGGTCTTTGCTTTTCTAAATGTAGCACTTGCACTGACTATATGAGGTTCTCAAACACAATAGTGAGGTGGAGCAGCATTTTGAGGACTTAAGCAATGTAATACAAATGCTATGAGCACGGGTGGAGGAAGGGATGCTAAAACTTCTGCTCTCACCCCTGCTGAGCTACTGTAGGGGTTTATTCCCAAATGGCCCTCTCATGGATCTTTCACACTGCTTTCCTTAGCACTTTACAAGATTTGATTGCCAAACCATGGTAAGGAGAGCGAGTGGTAGATCCACTGAACTAGCAGCACCAACAGCCATACTTGCAGGTTGCTGGGCAGTTCTCCAATAACAAAGAGCTAACTAACTGATACAGAATCAGCTTTTAAATTGTACAGCACAAAATCTGTAGAAGCATAACACTCAGACTTAAGTGTTCTTCCAAAATCTGGTTACCTGTTTATCAAGCAGTAATAGATGACACTAACCTTAATCTAACGGAAAATATTGTGCAAATGGAGCTCTGCAGTGTTGAGTGGAGACTGTGGCAATTCAATGAACATAACTATGTTTACAGGCCTACCCGTGACAGTGAGGATGAAGAAGATGATGAGAAAAAAGGAAGAGGTTGCACTCTTCAGTATCAGCATGCCATGGTGCGAGTCCTCACACAGTTTGTAGCCGAATCCTCTGAGTTTGGAGGCTACCTGACCTATATGCTAGGCTCTGAGTGGCAGTTTGACATCACTGACCTTGTGACTGATTTCATGAAAGTGGAAGATCCCAGGATTGCTAAGCTTCAAGATGGCCGAGTTCTGGTGGGTCGGGAGCATGGCATCACCACAGTCCAGGTACTGCCACAGGTGTCACTGCTTTAGTAGAAGCCTAAAAAGAAGTTGGAACAGGTTTTCATTTTTGCTATTTGTCACCTCCATGCAATACCTTTAGGTGAAATTTTGGGAGGGTTGTATTCACTAAGGACTAAGAAGTACAATGGGATTTTATGAACAATGAAGGTTACATCATCCATACAACCAGCTTCTTTTTAAGTTGGGACCTTATTAACTTCCTGATTAGAAAGATTTACCTAAGATTTACCAGCATTTTTACATGCCTAGATGTCTTTGAAAAACTGGTCCCTAAACATTCACAAAATGAAACACAAAAAATAAACACAAAAACAATCTTGAGAAATCTTTCAGCGTTCATGCTCACCCATCTATCTTAATTCAGATTTTTAAATCAAAATAAGGAATACAAGCATAGAGGATAAACTGTAAGCACTCATAATGTTCCAGTCATGCTAAATTTCCTTAGTAGTCAATGCGCAGAAACAGAGCTCAGTTCCTGTCAGCCTAAAACAAACAACACAGAGAAGGCAAGAGATTTCTGCCCTTGAAGTACTTCTTTCTCCCTAGTGACTATAGCAGAGCAGAAGGCAGCCAGGTCAGATGCAGGTATCTATAACATGGGTATCTGATGTTATGGTAGATGATTTATGCATCAAATATTCAGGGCTTGATCCAGCTGACTCAGGAATCAATTGAAAGATGATTTATCTCCTTCGGAGTATCTCAGAAACAAGGTCTTAGAGCAAACTGACAGGACTGTTTTGGCACAAGGAAAATGAAGATGGGCATCCATTGGGATTTTTCAAAATCCATTTTGCAAATCTCTCACTTCATGGAGGTCCTCTGTTCTCACAAAGGCATCAGGGCAAGTTCCCATTGCTCAGCCTTGTGCACTAATCCTTAATGAGTTTCAGCATTAACTGGTATGCTGAACATACCAGATTAACACGGTGTCTTGTATTGCACTGCATTCATTGGAAATGTCATAGACAATACAAAAATGACTTTTTTTGTCAAACAAATTTGTTTAATTGAAACCATGCTCCATAGTTGAGATGAGGTGGCCATTTTTGAAGTGTTATGACGTTTTATTAAATTATTTTTGTAAATATAGCAATTCAGTAGCAAATGAGTCCAACCTCTTGGGGGAAACACGACTTACAGTTTATACATAACTGTGACAAACTTGAGATTAACCAAAGTGTTATGCTGATGAGACTAATGCTTTCTAACACAGTTGCTGTTCATGACTGGTTTTTCTTTTCTCTTTCAAGGTTCTGTCACCTCTTTCTGATTCCATCTTGGCAGAGAAGACGGTGGTAGTTCTAGATGACCGTGTAACTATTACAGATCTAGGAGTACAACTAGTTTCAGGCTTGTCCCTCTCCTTACAAACCAGCAAAGGAAATAAGAGAGCTATTGTATCCACCACCTCTGCGTATGATATCCTTCATACACCAAAACAGGTATGGAATAGAGTATGTAACATGAGAAATTACAAAGTTCTGGATAAGACCACTGAATGAAGTATCTTACGTATTTTTCACTATATTTGTATAGAATTGATACTCTGTAACAGAAGAAAAAGTGCAACTATTATTTTCACACCAGCAGTTTTCAGTAAGACAAATTATTTTCTTTGAAATCTTCCTAAACATGGGGGGGATTGCAGCGTTTCTTGTAGTTGCCATAAAGAACTGCAATCACTTTTGCGTATTTAATGTAGTTGTGTGCATTTGGAAGCATGATAGAACATTTAAAACGCTGCACTGAGCTGTTTTCTTAACCTAGTTTGTTTCAGCAGGCTGAATGGGAATCACCATTCCAGTCTGTAACCCCTCCACATGTTGTACTAAAGATAGCAATGGAACTGCAGCATTACAGAGATTTCCCATTATAAGGCACTTGTAAAATTAATTAACCAGGACTTTGAAAATACAATTATTTTCCTAGCAGCGCTCCATTGTTCCAAGATGGAGTCTTGCTTAAGATTAAAAGACTTTTTTTTTTTTGTAATCTTTATTAAAGTTAGATGACTGTTGTCTGATAGTTCCTAATGATGAGATAAATGCCTAATGGCCTAGAGAGCTCAAAACTGCAAAAATGGGAAGCAGAGCAGACAATTTCATTTTCTTCTTTGAACAACAAGATAAACCAAATCCAAACTGTGTATTTATTTAGCTGATGACAAACAAACTGAGCACTGCCTATGTGCTCGCTTACATTTCACACACCATTTTTCTAATCCTCTTTTCCCTGCAGGAAGCCATAGTCAGTGCTTGGATTTTGTTCAGTGATGGGTCAGTGACACCATTAGATATTTATGACTCCAAGGATTTCTCAATCACCATCACTTCACTGGATGAGATGGTAGTATCTGTACACCAGAATCTTCAGTCAAAATGGCCTGGGGTGGTGGCAGAAGGGGATGGTCAAGGACCTCTAATTAAAATTGAAATGGTCATCAGTGAACCATGTCAGAAGACAAAGCGAAAGAGCATTCTGGCTGTTGGAAAGGGAAGCGTCAAAGTGAAGTTTGGTCAAAAAGATTCTGATCAAAAAGAAAGCACCAATGACATTGATGATACAGATAAAGATTTTAAAAGCCATGCAAGCAATTCCATAGAAAAAACTGCAGAACAAGAGAGGACAGCACAAGAATGGTCCAAAAATGGAGTCATTAGTAATCATGAGGACAATGCAAACAAAAGCACAACGTTCCTGTCTCCCATTGATCAGGAGTCCCTGGAGGATGACCAGCTCCAAAATAACCCAACTGCCTTCACGGGTTTTCCTGCCCAAGTAGAAATACCAGGAGAGAACAATCCCAGTGATCTCACATTGACTTCAAGAGGATTAACAGATTTAGAGATCGGCATGTATGCCCTGCTGTGTGTTTTCTGCTTAGCAATCTTGGTCTTTTTGATTAACTGTGTGGCATTTGCTTGGAAATACAGGCATAAAAGGTTTGCTGTGAGTGAGCAAGGCAACATCCCCCATTCCCATGATTGGGTCTGGCTTGGAAATGAGGTTGAACTGCTGGAGAACCCAGTTGACATTTCACTCCCATCAGAGGAGTGCACTACCATGATTGACAGAGGAATGCAGTTTGAAGAAAGCAACTTTCTCCTTAATGGGAGTTCTCAGAAGACTCTTCATAATCACATCCTCAGATCTTCTGAGTACCTTTGTGAAAAAGAAGTTAAAAGTGAACCTATAAATCCTTCTGGGCCAAAGCAGAAGCGAGTGAAGTTCACTTCCTACACAACAATACTGCCGGAGGATGGAGGCCCCTACACCAACTCAATTCTATTTGACAGTGATGATAATATTAAATGGGTATGCCAAGATATGAATCTTGGTGATTCCAAGGAACTTAGGGACTATATGGAAAGACTGCAAGACAATATGTAAAACTACTTTCTTATGTTTGTAATCACCTTTATGCCTTCTGTTTATGGATGGTGGAGCGGTCAGTCCAGTCAGCAATAGGAACAAGACAGTTCAACCTCGGAGTTACTGAGATGATAATCTGGCATCACTGAGCAGGTACAAGAGGCTGGCTGAGTTAAACCTGTTTCACCACAAACCAGGATGTGCCCCTAAAGCAGCTACCTGTAGGTGTTGAAGGTGTCACACACGATGGCTGTTTTTGTATACTGCCTGGTACTAGCAAAATGCTAATACAACTGCGCTCAGACTCAGAGGAGACTTCATTTGTTTGTCATTTCTCATGATAAATGGTAAATCAGAAAAGAAAGGGATCTTTGTTTGCATTGATTTTTCTAGTCGTCATTCTTTGTAAAGCACAGCGGACATTTCTTGCTTACAGCCTGAAACATGGCTTATATTAAAAGGGATATGAATGAATCTTATCTTATTGCCTACGTGCAATGCAGCCAAGTAGTCTTACTGTTTTTTACACATATAAAAAACCCCATGTGGTTAATTTCCTTTTGTACTGTTTATGAATTTTATTTGACTTAGGGAACATTATTTCCATTGATCTTTTTTGTTTCTGTTGTACCAAAGTGAAGTACAGTAATATTTATAACAATTTAGGTTTTCCATTCATTGGCATCAGCTCCTAGAGATACCTCCTTCATCACTGATTATCTTCCTTCTTTCCACGTCAGTATATGGGTCATTAGAAACATAGAAAGGTGTTAGAACTCTTACTGGGAAAGGGTTTTATCTTACAGGGAACTGTAAATACAATAATAAATAACCCTGGAATATGAAAATCAAGGAGCAACTCCGGGTTTACTTTTGTCACTGCTTACATGAAAAGGTAACCTGCAAACAAACAGCACATACTTCAAAGGAAAACACAGCAGCTTCGTTGACAATACACATTATCAGAGGGAGAAAGCCAAATATGGTACTGAAATGCATAGAATAGGAAGGAGCAAATAGCAAAGAAGCAAAAGCTTGCAGTCAGTGTTACACATTACTAATAAATTAATGCACTGATGGTAGAGTTTAGCAGGACATCAGATTATGCTCCAGACACCCACTAAGCCATCACTGACCATAAGGCTGCTAAGAAGAAAACACACAACCAACCTACATTAAGTCATTTTTCATTAAAAAGGGAGCAGGAAAGAAAAGGCCCACTGGGCGCATTATGAAGTGATTATTTGCAGTTGTAACAAGGAACACATGCTGAAGGTTCAGAGCTGTCCTTGCACAGGTATTACGTGGATATTTGTGTGGAAGAATAACTGAAATATGTTGAAAATTACATTTAGAAAAAAGCTGAAAAAACCAACACACAATAAAGCACAGGTTCTTCTGATGGATAAGATCCAAACTATGACAGCCTTACATACAGCTGCTCCCACATTTTGAGATAAAACCTTAATTTTATGATTCTGTTCTGCTATTAGAACAGACCAGATAACCTTTACTCTGGCAAATTATGCATTTGGATCCTAATCCACCATTGGGAACATGTTTAGTATAACTACTGCAGAATACTAGAATTTAGATAGTGAGGCTACAAAGCAAAATGAGGACACCAAGCTTATGAAAGTGATTAAAGACTTTTGCTTGCTGGCGTTGAACTGCATAGTCAGGGAAAAGCATCTGTTATAATCCAATTTTAAGCAGATAAAGTACCAAACCACCACGATGCTTCCATTTGATAAGGGATGCAGTACTTGTACTGAAGTGAAATCTCAGAATGTCTAACAACTGTTTCCCTCCTCTTTAAATGCTCCAGATCTCACGAGGAACCATTAATTCCTTCTATGATCCTTGTTAATAAGAACAGGAAAAAGATTTAGCGTCTCTTCCCAACATGCTCTTATCTGAGGGCGCCTCACAGTGATTAACTTTGTCCTGATTCCCAGCCTGGTCCTCCCCTGTATAAATCCATCACCAATAAACCTAAACTAGACATGAGACAGCACGGCGATGGTACTTGAGCAGGACAAACAGCATTGCTGTTTCCATGAATGCATACCCAGCAGCTTACAGCAACCAGGATCTTGTATGCACTGTACTCAGCTCTGTAACCAACTTCAGTGTGGCCGCAGTTCTGCCAACTGCATCAGCAGATGCTGAATTCCGGCCCTGTGATATAGGACTCCAACTCCAGTCACTATGGCACACTGAATGGAGAGACCTACAGCTGTGCTCATTTGCTCTTCTGAATCTCTGCTACGTAACAGAAATCAACAGCCGCTTCTAAACGGGAAAGAAAAGAATTTAGATGAATACAGTAGGTATGAAGCACAGTCCTGCGTTGAAGTGCAGTACTTTTAAAATGAAATATCTCACGTTTCACTATCAAAATAACATGCTTTGAATGTAAATTTAATTTAAAATAATCCAAAACAAGTGAAACCATTTTCAGATGCACCTATTCCTTTTTTTTTTTTTTCCCAGGGAATCCAAGCTCTTCGTTATTTAAAAAAGGAATGAAAAAAATATTTTATTCATGGAATATATCATATTCTGCTGTGAAATGAACAGCATCTGTAGGTTAATGAAAGAGTCTCTGGTTTTGAGATTATTGAGCTGAGGAAATCAGGTGATTAAAAGGCATGATATGTAAGCATGCAAGAAACTAGAATTGTCTAGAAAAGAAAACAAACTCTACAGATTAATTAGAACTGCGCTTCAGTAGGTGCCCAGGGAAGCAACACCTGTAATCTAATGCTGAATAAAGAGAACATCTTATTTATAGCATAAAGAGAGAAGGCACAGTAGGTGAGTTTCTTTGCCTGATACCTAGAAAAGACAATATGTAGTATCAATGCATAAAGAAGGAACAATTCAACAAGCAAAGAGAGGGTTAATGAAAAATAGGGAGTTTGTGAACTGTAAAAACAGAGCTGATGCCAGATCCTCAGCTCTTGTAAATCAGAGCTGAGGCAGTGATGCCAGCTGAAGAGCTGGCATTCAGAGAACACTGAAGAGCTAGTGGTTTTCATCTGTTTGGAACTTACTTCATTCGAACATCACACACAGCCTAGCTCCATGTGGCTCGTCTATGCATTCTTTCTCATTTAATAAGAATTAAGGAAACGAGTGCCCTGCTCTCCTCTTGATGTAGAACCACACAGAGTAATGTTTTGAGCTGCTGTTTCTTAATTCATACTGGGGAATGTACAAGAAAATCCTACAGCCATATGACACAGTACAAACAGTCCATGATAGAATGGAAAAAAAAAACAAAAACTGTATTTCAAGGTAGAGTGCCCTATGAATGAAATACCATTTTTTCATAGAGGAAATGCTCTTTTCTGAAATATATCATGTGCACTACATTGAAATACACTATAGTGTATTGTGAAATGCATACATTAACTGCTGAATCTATAACACTGAATATGTATATACATCACACCCAAGATGTTTATACGATATAATAAGTCTTAGATGTATAACATAATGAATTCTGTACAAAATAAACTGTAAGTTAAGACAATGAAAGACAACTTTTATATCTGTGTAATTTGTATGCTAAGTTATTCAAGCCTCAGTTTTCATCTTTAAATGTGCCCTTAAAACAACCACGTTGATTTTCTATAGGCAGATGTCTGAAATAAAGACTTCACTCTTCAGAAAAGAAGCAATTGAAAGACTGTGAAAAAGACACAGATTCTTCTGGAGAAATAAACATACTGTTGATGTGATTTTTTAAAACTGACTCTAAGGCATTTTCCATTTGTACTGATCGAGGTGATCTACTGGTTGGGTTGAGGGTGATGTGGCCTGGAGTGCAAACAGCAAATAGTGATGTGCCCAACTGCCAACTGTTTGGGTGTCTCCCTGCTTGAAACACCATGAATTACAGATTATATCCAGGGGTTTCACTCACTCTTCCCTGCAAAGTGGTGCAGCCATCTCTTTCTGCAGTAAGTGATCCTTCCTCAGCAAAAAAAGGGCCAATGATCATGAAGAACGTAATGATCATTAGATGACCACTGTCTTGCAAAGTACAATAAAAAGGTAACTTAACCTGCCCCTTTAGCTCTCTGTTGTGAACAGATTTTGCTTCATTGTTATTAATTTCCTTTCAAGATATCTTATGTTCCCATGAGAATCACAGAGCCTCAAAATTATTGAAGTCCTTTGCTGTTTTCAAGTGGACCAGAGCTGAGATCCAGTTGTACAAACTCAAGGCAAACTTGTCGGCTGTTTTTGTGTTAACAGGGGCAATTTAACATCATATGAATAATTTAAGGACCACTATTGTCATTTCTAGCTTATAGAAATTTGTTGTTATACAGAGTCGATTGAATGAATAGATTGAATGCTGATTTAGAAAGTACCTCAGAGAAACAATTTTAATGTCTTTTGGGCACAGGTTCCACTGTCACCACTTAGTATTCTCAACAGTAAAATAAGAAGCATGTATTGTAAATGACACTTTTTTAAAACCAGTGATATTTGGTCTGTAATTGACCCATTCTATGACCTTTCTCCCTGGTAGCATCTTAGTGAAGAGATCTCCAGTACGTCTACACACACCACAGTGATACTGAAGCTACCAGACAAGAGTCAAACAGTCTCCTCTTCTAAACAATTATCACAGGAGCAAATTTTAACTCCCAACGTGTATGTGCCATATAACTGAAAATAATTACCTGCATTCCTTTAAGAAAATCTAAGAGGCCAAGAAATATGGTTTTTTTTCTTCCAAAAATCAAGCCCTTGGAATTTGGCAGGCGAGAGTTCACAGTGCTGTATGTCACAGATGAAATAGGTCAGATCCTGAAGGCTGTCTCAGCTAAAACTCCCCCTGGCCTTGTTAGGAGATGGGCTATGACAGGAAAAAGCAGAGATGGACAATTACCCATCAGGTCTGAGAGGTCGGATATGGCCTCATAGCACCTAGCACTGGATGCTGCTGTTTGCAGTCAGTAACACCCCTAGCTTATAGCAAACAGAACAAGTGGTCATGCTGAGAGTTCGCACAACTGATGACACATGGCACTGTGTGGCATCCATAAAGAATGGAGATACTGTTTTGCTGAAGTGGAGCAAGTTGCAAAATGAACTAGTCTTTGAAAGTCTACACCCTCCCATTACATTCCTTTTAGTGTAGCAGCACATTCCTGTTTGTTTCCGTTCCAGTGATGTGTTGTGAGCAGAGCCTGCAGAAGTCAGGTTATGAGGGAATAAAGCTGAGCTGTATTCTTGATAGTGGCAGCTTAGTCATGAAACTGCACCGAGGTGAGGGAGCTCTGAGGCTCCTCAAATGTGTAATGCTGTTACTTGCTTCCAAAAGCATACCTATTGGATTAAGGATTTATAAACCAATATGGATAAAGGCTTATATCATTCCTTCTGATAATCTTGGGTTAGTCTTATTAAAAAAAAAATCAATGGGATCTGATGATATAAAACCCAAGTAATGAGCTCAAGATTTAGTGGAAATAAACAGTGGATATTTTTAATCC